CAGCGCTCAGAGGGTTAGGCTCGCCACACCTGGAAACGAAAGCAGATCCTAACGGCCTTAGAGTTCGCACGCATGGAAAAAACGCCTACAATCTCAGAGCACGTGCACATAAAAAGACACGAAACTCCAAAACTGGGGCACGGTGTAGGGCTTGGGTAAGTAACCTTGCGACCGTAGATTGCCCAGTGGACTGCAACCGGAACTCAAACATCCGACCCCACCACCCCCCCTGCTCCGCCGGCCTAAACCCCACGCGCAAGCATCTAGAGCCCCGAACACTCCAACCTCAACACCCCTGTAAATCTAAACTGCCCTCAAATCGAAACCCTCATTCCCAGAGCATTAAATCATTGAGCCGCCATCTTGTCGCACACCTCGCAACCCTAAGGCCCGCAACCCCAAGGCCTTCCGGAAATCGCAAAGAAGCCCTTCTGAAACGATGTACGTACCTCTTTAGCGAAGCCCTGTGAACCCTGAGTTTGGGGGCTCTGTTGACGTGGTAAGCCTGCCCCACAGCCCTTCATGAACACATTTGGGCGTGTAGTTTCTGAACTATACTGTCCTTACAAGAAGAAACCCCAAGGATCTGCTTTGCTGCTGACCCTCTCACGGAACGGTTGATGATATAAATCCGCACTACCCACAACAAGCAATATACCATAATTCTTATAGTTTATGGTCCTTGAAGTAGTGCAGGATTTATATCATCAACAGAATCGCTTGCTAGAACCAAAGAGCGCCCAAGAAGCTCCCCAAGAAACCCTCCATTACGCTCCAAAGGCCTGCCAGGGCAGCCAGGGCAGCTTTTGCAACGGCCGTCTTCGAGATTTGAGCGGCGCCTGGGAACAACAATTTGTGGGGTTCAGAGGTTGAAGGGTTAGGATCTGAAGATTTGGAGTCTTGTTTTCGGGTTTGGAGTCTTGGCCTCACTGCTATAAACGCTACTTCACATACTCTCTTGGCTTAGAGGCTTCTTCAGTTTCGTCTGACGTTGAAGGGCTGAGGCATCTCAGAGCAACTAGCAAGAATATCCTCTCAGAGTCCCAGTATAATGGCTACATTACTATGTACCCATAACACCCTATTCTTAGCATAAAGGCTACTGCTCTTTGCTGCTGCGTGGTCGACAGAGCCCTAATCCCTAAGAGCCCGAAGCCCGAAACCCTAAGAACCGAGAACCGCAAGAACCCTAAGAATCCGACCCTGAAGAACCCCCGACCCCAAGCCCAAAATCGAACGCCTCATGCTTGTATTCATTAGAAGCTGGCTGTCCTGAAAGCTCGCTCCATTGAGCTCTCATTTTGAAGAGTTTCAGCGTAAAGAGGGAAGCTTGGTTAAGCCCGCAAGCAATGAACGGTTCGTAACTCGAGCTGGACATGCCATGGGAGAAGCTTTCCATCTCGGTCAAGACAAGAGGAATCAGCAGTGTAAAATAGGGGCCTTAACGGTTAGAATAGGGTTTTGTGGTATATAATACAATAACTAGAACAAGGATTGGTAATTTAGGTCCCTATGTTACTACCTAAACATGGAGAGCGTTATTGCCAAGACCGAAGTGAGAAAGCTAGTTCCTGGGCTGAGCGCCATCGGTCAGCCTTTTCTCTGCAAACCTTCAAACCTGAGACTCATAATTCTTCCGCAGCGGCCTATCAAAGGGATTTCGGGGGGTTAAGGTTTAGGATTTCGGTTTTGTGACTTGGAGTTCAAGATGAAACAAATGGTTTAGGATCGAGGATTTAAGGCTTAGGAGCCCGAAACCCTGCAAACTTAGGGTTAGGCTGGGGCTCCTTGCCAGAGTCGTCGCGGTTCCCGCGCACCGCATAGAAGAGCAGAGTGCGGCCCTGCTCGTCCGTGCCGGAAATCGAACGCCTTTGGTGCGAAAGGCGGGGCACAGATGGGTTTAGGGAGTAGGTGTATGTATGTGTGTATATATATATATTATAAATATTATATATATATATATATTATGTTGAGGTTTGGGGTTTTGACTGTTTGTATAGTGGCCTCTAAAGTGAACAAGAATGTATAAAACTTTCCAGGAACAAGGGACCCCTGGTATAGAGCCTAAATACTAATATTCAAGTTCATTGTGGCAAGGATATGTTAATCAGGTATCCTTGGTTGTAAGAAACTCCCGGAAAACCCTGATAAAACTCACAGAAGCCCGTAAGACCCTAAAACAGCCCGAACGCACTCTGAACTTGAAAAGCTTTGATTTCGCAACTTCAACCCCAACACCCCTAAGGCCCCACATCCGTGCAAAGCCCCGGAAGAATCCCTCTTCACAATACCTGCACCTGAATCCCGAATCCACCAAACCGCTCTGAATAAACCCTTTCCAACCTTTATAAAGACCTCTAGACCTTTTATAGATCCTCTAGAAACACCCTACACATATATCCTAAACCCTAAACCCCCAAAAGCGGTGGCCTCAGCACAGACGTTAAGATCTCCAAGGTTTCTGTGTCCTCCTGGCGCGCGGCGATGCGCGCCTGGCGACAGAAACATGGGCTCGTTTGAGGGCTCCCTTTAGGTGGTACGTTTAGGGAGGGGTGGTTTGGGGTTTTCGTAAAGTTTGCGGTGGAGGCGGGTCTAGTGGGTCTACAAGCGCCTTACAAGGCTTCTTTATGGGCTTTGGAGATGGTCGTTGCTTTCTCTGGATGATGTACAGCTTGAAGCACGCCAAGCTTGGTCTTCCTCAATGATCAACTCGTTCCGGCAAACCGTAAGGAATGCACCAGCATGTTTTCAGATTCTCGTAGTATTGGTTCCAATAAGCGTAGACCAGAGAACCCGAGCTTGGCCCATGCAGCAAAGTTAATGTATCGAGACAGATGATACAAGCATGTTAAGGACATAATTCGGTTCAATCGTTGCTGCTGTGTGGGGGAACGATTCATACTGCTGTTCTACAGTAATCAATAGATTGCTCTGCTTGCACCGATAATGGGCACGACACCTATATGTGTTGAGCAATGGAAGGATCAAAATTCTGCCTGCAGTCGCGGTCACAAAATGCAAGAAGCTGAAAGGCTCGACGAGACATGCAAGACATGAAAATGCCTGTAGGGGGAAAGCAAGAAGACGTCAGCAAAGATGCAAAGACGGACTCCACGAACAGAAGAGCGAATACAAAGCCAACCATTCTAACGCCAAGGAAAGACGACGGAATCGCTTCACTGGGGTCAAAAACGGGGTTGTTGCTGTCCCGTCTGTAATAGTAGAAAGCAATGTTAACATGCCCAACATGAGAAGTCAGCATTTTCCATAGAACCTGACAGATGGGGATTTCGGGAGAGAAAGCTGAGTAATTAAACCAGACAAGACCCGAGAAATCATCGGCAAAGAACACCAGTGTTGTAATGCTTGCCGTGCCGACTTCTTATCTCACCACCGCAGTCAAGCCCCGCAACCCCGTAAGAATGATCTTAGCATCACGGGAGAGAGCGAGAGAGAGAGAGAGAGAGAGAGAGAGAGAGAGAGAGAGATATTCAAAATCTGCATATGCAGTGTAATATACAGTTACGTAACATGCGTATAGATCGCTCATGTTCCATAGCTAATGTGGTTTCGCTCGACCGGCAACAACAGATAGATATCTAGGTATATAGATAGATAGACAGATAGGTAGGTAGATTGATAACTAGAGATATAGATAGGCAGATCGACAGATAGACAGATGGATAGATAGATAGATAGATAGACCGATAGACAGACAGATAGATAGGTAGGTGGATAGATAGATAGATTGATTGATTGATTGATATGCTCTGTTTACATTGGAGTCACAACAGACCGTATCCGAAACCCAAGCCCCAAAGTCTGCAAGGATGCCTCAGCCGATTTGGAATGATGGCAGCGCTTTAGGGTTTAGGGGTTTAGGGGTTTAGGGGTTTAGGGCAGGGTTGGGTTTAGGGTTTAGGGGCTTAGGGTTTAGGGTTTAGGGTGGCACTGTATTGGGCTTGGGGTATCTTCTTAGGATTGCCATCTTGGGATGGTGAGGGTTCGATGCTTGGGTTGAGATCTTGGTCTAGGGTTGACGCACTCCCCAAGCCCTGTTCCAGCTAACATTACGCCCACCTCCAGGCTCAGGGGGAGCTTCGAGGGGCTTTGCTCAGCCGCTGTGGCGGGATTTGCGGTGCCTGGCTCAGCTGCGTTTGGAGCTTCGGATGTTCGCATCTCGTATTCAAGGTCCTGGGTGTGCAGAGAAAGGATGTGTAGCCCTTGAGGGAGGGGCCGTTTGGACAGCTTCACACTCTCCGAATCTCAAAAGAAAGACAACAGCTTGGGACAGGCCCTCCCCGAGGAGGAGGAGGAGGAGGGTGTAGAGCAACACCCGCTAATCACCGCTGACGTCCCCAGTTTTTCAGTCTTCAAAACTGACCTAACATCACCCCCAGGCCTTTGAAGTTATATCTCCCTGCATGTCCCGATCCTCCGAAACTTTACTCAGAGCTTATCACTCCCATCGAACTCTGATAGCCTTCTAAACCCCCAGGTTTGGCTTTGAAGTCCCAAGCCCGAAGCCGAAAGCCTCAGCTAGGGTTTAGGGCTTAGGGTGTAGGGTCTAGGGTTGAGGGCTTAGGGGCTCGGGGCTTGGCATCCCTGAGTCCTAGCCCCTTCAGCAGTGATTCGATTTGAATCCTAGCATATCGTAGACCCAAAGCTCGAACTAAACCCCCAAACCCCAAAAGCCTGGGTTCGGGCATCGGCGAGCTTTTCTCGGCAGCTTCGTCTAGCATGGTCCAGCCAGGGCGGCCCGAAACAGCAGCAGTGGAGCCTGTAACGGTGGAAGCAACCAGCAGTCGGAGCTAGCAGTGCTAGCAGATCAGATCTGTGAGCCCTGGGTGTTCGGCTCAAGAGGCAGCACCACTCAGACCGAAGCGGGTGGCCCATGATGGGACACGATGATCGAGGATGTGGGTACTCTTGGCCTTGCTTGCATCTGACAATGATGCGCTTCTGATCATCCTGAACTCAGCCAAATCGAAAGCCGGCGATCACCGGAGAGCGAGCGGCGGCTGATCCTTGACTGAGAAGTTGAAGCCCTCGTACGCTCGGAACAAAGGAGCAAAGAGTTTAGAAATATAGGGCTTGGAATTGCCTTGGAAGTGGAGATTGCGCAAGGTGAAGTTGTCGGCCACGGCCCGGAGGATAGACCTGTTCAGGGATTCGCTGTGGACCACCTCCACCTTCCCACCAGCCGTCCTAACGTGGCAACAGCTGTAGTTCCGCGCATTCCAGCCGTGGGCAGAGTCGATGAGATGGCCCTGCGTGGGATAATAGCCATTGCAGATGCGGTAGCGCTTCGTTGGCGGCATCAGATAATCAGGCAACATTCGGACATCAGGGCCCGGCGGTGGTACATGGAGCTCCTGTCGGGTGAAGTGGGGTGGAAAGCGAACATACTGCAGGAACCAGGGCTCGCCATCTGACCACGGCAGTCCCTCCGTGTCGAGGCTGCCCATGGCATAGAAATACCAAGTGCTCATTTGGTTGATGCCTGAAAACAGGTTCTTCTGGATGGCGTATCGGAGCCAAATGTAATCCTCAAACATGGCGATGTCGAAATCAGTCCAATCGTTGAGCACGTCTAAACTGAGCACGCCACCCATAGATCCCAGAGCACTGTATGTGAAGGGTAGCCACTCCTTGCTGGCGTCCCACCTGAATCGCCAGGCGATCTCACTCTGACACTTTCTCGGGAGGTACGGCGGGACGATCACAGCAACATCGGCCTCTGCATAAGCCACGTACTTGATGTCCTCTTCCTCCATCCAAGCACGGACAACATAGTAGTTCAGCACATTGAACATTTCGAAAGGCTCTTTGTGGCCACGGCAGCAGCCGCCCGCCCACGTGCCGGCTGACATGTTCAGATGCTTTACATAGAGCGATCGGAGCTTCAAAAACTTCGTATCTGCGTACTGCAGGTAATCGTCGAGACGAAAGCCTTTCCGCGCAAAGGCCGGTAGTCTTGCCTCAAACGTTGGCAGCAGCGACGGGTCGGTGAGTAGGACCACCGTTGGGACGTGTAGCAAGCTTACAGCCAGGATCCGATAAAAGTAGTCTTCGACGACGCAAGGCCCAGAAATGTTCCAGGCCACTTTGTTCTCCTCATCAACCAGTGTGTCGCCACAGAACCACGCGTACACCAAAGGAATTCCTTTTATCCGTCCCTTGCGCGGAGTATGCCTCCGATGCCTCGTTGTCTTGCTGTGGTCATGCAGCAGGGCGGGGACGGCGGGGACGGAGGCGATGACGGAAGCCTCGTCGTTAGGGTTTAGGGTTTAGGGTTTAAGGTTTAGGGTTTAGTTAGGGTCTAGGACGACAACGACAACAGCTCACAGCAACAACACCAGCAGCGGCTACAGCAGTGCCGCCGCCATCAGAGGCGAGAACACCATGACCATCAGACCATCATCACCAGAAGCACAATAACCTACATAGCCACCATCACCATCATTATCAACAACTCCATCCGCGTCAACAGCAGCACAGCACAAAATCATCACCAGCGCCCTTATGATCATCAGTACCATCGCCATAACTGACACATCATCACCGTGGGCACCATAGCCAGTATCACCACCAACTTCAGCATCATCGTCTACATCAACATCAATGTGGCCAACATCGTCGTCATCCTCCTTGCGAACACCGCCATCGGCATTATCCTGCAGTACAGTACGGTTACCGTCGTCATTATCAAATGTCTCCACCATCGGAAACATGGGCACCAGCCCAGCAAATAGTCGTCGTCGTCATCGTCACCATCTCGATAACCGTGGTCATCGTCATCCTGATTGTCATCATCTGCATCATAATCCCATCTCCTTCTCGTTCACCGTCCTCGTCCAGATCTTGAGCATCATGGGCTTCATTGCCTTGACCATCATCGTCATCAGCATCATCATCACCATCATCAGCAGAACCATCATCATCATCATCACCACCGTCATCACCGTCATCATCATCGTCATCATCACCGTCATTATCGTCATCATCACCGTCATTATCATCATCATCATCATCATCATCATCATCAACATCATGACTTTGTATTCCCGATGTTCGGAATACAAGCAAGGGTCATGCGGATTATCATCCTAAAACCCAAAGATGCCTGGCTCCAGTACCAGGCCAAGAGAAATGTCGAAGGAATTGCAAGGATCAAGACCGCCGCAGCTGGTCGGGCGAACCGGTTGCAGCTCATGGCAGTTTCGGGCGGCTTCAAGTTGTTGTCTTAGGTTGGAACGGTTGGGATATGGGGTCTGGGGTCGGGTTCTGGCGAACTTGGGTCTCGGGTTTACGCTAGGGCAAGGAGTTCAAGACGACATTTTACACATGTGGTCATGGCTGCATTGAACTTGGCAACTTAGAAACCGTTCGCTTCGATAAGCCTGCCTGCGGCGACCTGTTTTGATTCTGCGATCGAAGTATTTACCAGACATTTTTTCGCACATGCAGATTCAGTGGAACTTTCAGTCCAAAACAGCACTGCTTCAGCAACGCAGCTGGAAATAACAAACCAGGCACATCTCAAACAGTCAAAGCCTGAACCCGAATCCCTGACCCCAAGAAGCCCTCAGCTCTAAACACCCCTACACCTGACCCGGCCCATCGTCAGAGGAGAAGCTTCTACTTGAAAGCCTAGGGTAAGTACTCATCCCAGCCAGGCTGTGCAGAGCCTTCAATGCAGCACGAAAACGGTCTTCATTAAGTCATCTTCAAAAAAAGTGATGTGATACGCAAGGCATCTTAACCCTGAACCTTGCACTCATGAGCTCTGATGGGCCCTCAAAGACTTAGGGAAGTAAGGGAAACACCGGGAATGGCCTGGTGATGGCAGCTTTTCTGGTGCTTGCTCGCCTGCCACCCAGAGAGGTTCTAGGGTATGCGATTTAAAGGTTGAAGTTGTGGCTTGAGATTTGGAGCTCGGGGCTTGGAATGTAGGGTTGTGTTGCTTCCTGGCTTTGGGTTTGCCGGTTTTGGTTGCGGCTTTGAAGTTTAGGCGATCTATAAACATGGAAATGGGCCGGACGTGCTTGTCTTCGCCGCCACTGTGGTGTTTCAGAGCCGTAAACCCGTAAACAAACCCTAAATCCTAAACCCCAAGCCCGGAAGCCCTGAAGCCCGGGCAACAGAAACCTAAATCCAAAACCGCTGGCAGCAAGCAGAGTTGGATCCTGTTCGCGCGACATACCCTGGTAGCCGGACGCTTGCGCAGAGTTTTTGGTCTGGCGATTCCGTTCAACATGCCGGCGGAATATGAATCTGTATTGAATCGGACCAGTCAGCTTCCGCCTTGAGAATGCCCGTGAAGCGGCTGTCGTTCCGGAGACCCCAATAAGAAATGGCCTCTGGGCCTCTCAAGTTGCGGGTCCCCGCCCTTGAGCCTCAAGCTAGGGATGGAGGATCCGATGGGGTGAGGTTGCCCTTTGCTCAGGTGTTGTGAGGTTTTGCCCACTTCTTGGGTGCTCAGCCAAATACCACTCATCTTGGAAATAGACCTTACTTCGTGATAGGGGTGTAGAGTACTTGGGGATTGCATCTTTCTTGGGATCGGACTGATTCGTGCTGCAGCTCTTGCAGATGGCGCACCTGCCATGGAGACACACTGTGGTGGGTGGAGGTCTCAACAGTTCCACGGATCCGCTCTCTGGGGATTCGGGTGTGGGGGGGGGGGGATGCTTTGGGGTCAGTCCCAAACAGTCTTCATTCAAGGATGTCAAAGAATGTAAGAGCTCGCACCCAAAGCTAGCTAGCTTTGCGCCCTGAAGCCCGCTGTAAGCTCCATCCTCTGCAGCTACAGCCCTAAACGAACCTGGAGGCTGCATCAGCACATCAACAAAAGCCCTGAACCGTCCACCCACAAGACGAAACCCGCAGCCCTTGGAAACCAGCTGTATTTCATCCAATGCCCCCGCACCACTTTGGGCCCAAAGGGGTCTTGGCTAACACCTCCGATGTCGGAAGCCTGAGAGAGCCTGAATCTGCTTTTAAATACAAACATCTGTCTGGCTGGATCGACGGCTCCACTGCGTGCGGGGTTGGAGTTGCTCTTCAATGCTTCGGGCTCAGAGAACCCACACTTTCAATGCCAGCCCCTTTTTGAAGGCCCCATCCGAAATTGGAAACCTTGCAATGCCTTTTGTGCCGCTCCGAGGCCTTCAAACAAAAAGCATACCTTCGGTAAACCTGCCGCAGAAGTTGTTAACAAAGGACTATCGTGTGGTATGCGCGGGGTCCGGGCAATTCCTTTGTAAGGGACCGTTGGCAGTTGCTCTGAAGCCTCAAGACCTACATCCCTCCACTCGCTCTTCAGGCAAAGCTTCGGGTGACGTCCTGGCACCCACTGTACACAAATGGCTCCCCTTGCATTTTACTACTAGCAATCTGATGCTACCTAGTCATCAAGGTTTGGGAAGCTCCCGGCTGAATATCTTCTGGGCGGGGGTTGGGCAGTCCGGAGTTGGCATTAGCCTGACGACAGCCAGAAGGCATCATCCATGTTTCAAACATCAAGGCTTTGGGCTAGGGATGAGGGCTTAGGGGATTGGGAAGCTTCGGTCAAAAACTGAAGGACATTGCGCATTCCCGAAGGATGTGTGTTGGTCTTATTCCAGCCCCAGACCCCTTGGAAGATGTAACGCATAAGAACCCTGACCTTACCCTAAACCCTAAACCCTACACGCTGCACCCTAAACCTTAAACCCTGACAACCCTAAGCTTACACCTTGAAGCGAGACGCGACGACGGGGCTCAGAGGCGAAAGCAAAGCAGCCATCGAAGCATGAGCACGCCGACATTCTACACGAGGGTCCCTTAAGAGTTCCTTTAAAACTTTAAGGGGTTCCTTTTAAGGGGGTTCCTTTAAAGGGATCTCTAAGAGTCGGCTTGGGATTTCGGGTTTAGGGTTTAGGGTTAGGGCTTTAGGGTTGAAGGATTTGAGGGAGGGATTTAAGTTTTGGATTGAGGACTGGTAAAATGAGGGGACCTAGCATGAGTGGTATGAGCTCTTAGTACGAAATGGCTTGCTACAGGTGGTATGTTGCATCCTTCTCCATGCTACTTACTTTATGCATCAGACTTGATTTGTAGCGCTTCCCGGAGTTGGTGGAACAGTTGGGCGCGAGTCAAGGGCATGAGCCACCGAGACGAAGGCTTCAGGACCACGCGATGATTGCAGTAACAACAACCATAACAACAATAGTAACACCAGTAGCGAACAACATCACAACCACAGTATTAGGCCTAGTGATCGAGTAGCGGTCGTGTCAGAAGTAATCGTCACAGTCATATTCGTCATAGGCTTGTTCGTTTATGATGCCGGTTCGCAAGCGTCAGAACCAATTGCTGCGAGCCAGGTGTGCGTTTAGGGGATATGGGGTAGAGGGATTTGGTCAAGGGGCGAGACCTTCGACGCCTCTGCCTTCTTTGTGCAGCCCCGAAACCAGAGAGCCCAATACCCCTTAACTAAGGAATGTAGCTTAAATCATAATATGAAGCCCCTTATAATTTAAGGTATATTCCTTAGTTAAGGGGTATTGGGCCCTCTGGGAAACCCTGAACTAACTTGGAGCTTGAGCAGAAAGAACCCAAGCTCCTGGGGCCTGGTCACACTGTAGCATGGTACCCTTTTGAAAAATGCTGCTGCATGTACATGAATCGCAGTACGTGTGCGGGATACATTTCTGCCTTCGCCGAGGGTTCTTTCACAAGGGCGCCGTAATATTAGTTGGGCGTAAAAGCTAGGACCCTGCAACGAGGCACCAAGAAACGCCAACTTGCCAGTTAGGATTTGCATGGATTTACATTATTTTCGTTCATTAACGACCCTTGCATAGATCTCTATTATTGCCGTCCTCTTCACGACCTCCTTCTAACATCTGTTTCAAGCTGTTCATACAAACATAAAAGAGAAAACCATGTGGCTCGGCGCGCAATGTTTTGTGAAACTGGCCCGCCGGCATGCGTCTCATATGCGGGCCTTTGTGCCAGCAGATGGCATGGGCTGCAAGCCGATGAAAGAAGGCCTTCATGACCCGACTGTAGGGGCCTTAACGATGAGAATCGGATTTTGGGGCATAGTTATATATATATATAGAAAAAATATGGATGGTGCGGGCCACTCTATACGCTTCACGCTCTTGTGGGCCTAGGTTCTTGTCCTGGGTCGCTCATCGATCGAAACTCCGTGAACCCCCACATGGTCCTGTAAGGTCTCCTCGCGTCGAACGAGTGAAGCTCTGGGTAGAGTCTAAAA